ATTACCATATATAGAAATAGATGAAAGACCACTAAACTTAAGAGCTAACACTGTAAAATTCTTAGAAAAGAAATTAGGGAAAATCTTCATGACACTGGATTTGGCAACAATTCCATGGATAGGACACCAAAAACACAGACAACAAAAGAAAAAATAAATATATTGGATTTTATCAAAGTTAAAAACTTTTGTGCCTCTAAGGATACTATGAAACAAGTAAAAAGTCAACTTACAGAATAGAAGAAAACATTTGCAAATCATATATTTGACAAGGGACTGATATCCAGAATATATAAAGATCCCCTACAATTCAACAACAACAATAAAACAAACAACAACAAAACCCGAGTGAAAAATGGGCGAAGGACCTAAATACACATTTCTCCAAAGAAGATATTTGAAAGGCCAACCGGTACATGGCAAGATGCTCAACATCGCTAGTCATTAAGAAAATGCAAGTTAAAACCACAATGAGATATCACTTCATACGTGTGTTAGAATGGCCATCACCAAAAAGACAAGGGGTTAACAAATGTTGGTGTGGATGTGGAGAAAGGGGAACCTGTGTGCACAGTGGATGGGAGTGTAAATTGTTGCAGCCACTATGGAAAATAGTATGGAGGAACCTCAAAAAATCAAAAATAGAACTATCATATGATCCACTTCTAGGATTATATCCAAAGGAAATGAAGACACTAACTTGGAAAGACATCTGCACCCTCATGTCCACTGCAGCATTATTTACAATAGCCAAGACATAGAAACAACCTAAGTGTCCATCGATGGATGAACAGATAAAGAAGTTGTGGTGTATATAAATACATAATGGATATCATTCACCCATAAAAAACAAGGAAATCCTACCATCTGCCACAACACGGATGAACTCAAAGGCATTAAGCTAGGTGAAATAAGTCAGACAGAGAAAGACAAATAATGCGTGATTTCAACTTATCTGCAGAATCTAAAAAAACAAAAACAAAAACACAAAAAACAAAACTCAGAAAGAGAGCAGATTTGTGGTCACCACAGGCAGAGGGTGGGGGGAGAGGAAACTGGAGAGAGTGGTCAAAAGATACACACTTGCGGTTATAAGATAAATGCATCCTAGGGACGGGAGGTACAATGTGATGACTCTAACTAACACTACCACATGATATACAGGAAACCTGCTAAGAGAGTAGGTCCCAGGAGTTCTCGTCACAGGAACGTTTTTTTTCCCTTTTTTCTTTCCTACTTTTCTATTTATTGTATTTTTATGAGAAGATGGATGTTAGCTAAACCTACTGTGATAATCATTTCACAACATATGTAAATCAAACCATCATGGTGTCATGCCATAAACTTATATATTCATGTATGTCAACTATTTCTCAATAAAACCAGGGGGGATAAACCAACAAAATGGGGTCGAGGAAGCCACAAGATACCACTTCATACCCACTAGGATAACTATTTAAAAAAAGGGAAAATGATGAGTGTTGGCAAGGATGTGGAGAAATGGCAACCCTCACACACTGCTGGTGGGAATGTAAAATAGTGCAGCCACTGTGGAAAACAGTTTGGTGGTTCCTCAAAAAAGTTAAACATAAAACCATCACATGACCCAGCAATTCCACTCCTAGGTATAGACCCAAAGAAACTGAAAGCAGGGACTTGAATAGCTATTTGTACACCAATGTTCATACAGCATTATTCACAATAACCAAAAGGAAACAAGCCAAGTATTTATCCGCAGATGAATGGACAAACAAAATAAGGTATATACACGCAACACTATGAAGGAGTGACATCTGACACAGGCTACAACATGGATGGGCCCTGAAAGCATTACACTAAGGGAAATAAGCCAGACACAGAAAACCAAATACAGGATTCCATTTCTATAAGGTACCTAGAATAGCCAAAATTAAAGAAAGAGAAAGCAGAATAAAGGCTGCTGGGGGTGGGGGAGGAGAGGGGAGGAGGAAAGGGGGAGTTCTTGTTAAACGGGTACAGAGTTTATGTTGTGGATTCTGAAAAAGTTTTCGGCATAGAGAGTGGTGATGGGCACACAGCTTTGTGAATTTTTTAAATTTTTTTTTATTTTAAAGATTTTTATTTATTTATTTGTCAAAGAGAGAGAGAGCACAAGCAGGATGAGCTGCAGGCAGAGGGAGAAGCAAGGCTCTCTGCTGAGCAAAGAGCCCAACGCCAGATGCCGGACTCGATCACAGGACCCCGGGATCTTTGTGAGTGTATTTAATGCCAGTGAACTGTATATTTGCAAACGGGTAAAATAATAAATATTATGTTATGCAGATTTTACTACAATCAAAGTAATGTGGAGGAAAAAGGGGGGGTAATATGATACACAGTGAAAAGATAGGAATGAAATAAACCCAAATGTCAGCAGCTATTCTGAGAAAAGAAATCTTTGGGGGGCTTCTTCTTTCTTTTAATCATTTTTCTCTATTTTCCAATTTTCTTTCAATTGCTCTTTGGATGGGAAAAAATAAGTTATGTTTTTTAACAGGTTTCATGTTTTCAGGTTTTGATACATACATAATTCGTCAGTCCAAATTTTTCCTTTTTAGGTAGAAAGTTCTTCGCATTTAGAGCAGCATTTACAAAAGATTCACTTCACAAGGGGCCATAAGGAAAGGAAATGGTCACTTAAAATAATTTAAAGTTCTCTGCTGCACAGAGGTGAAAGCTAATGTTCTCTTACAACCTGGCCTGGCCCCGGGGCCCTTGAACCCGCTGGCTACAACCCATCAGGGGGCAATCCCTTCCAGTATGGGGGTTGTTCTCTCTGCCCTCTGGGCACTGAATGAGGACAGAAGAGGTTTCAGGGGGACAATTTTCCCCTGGATGTGTGATAAAGTCCATAATTTGACCTTTAAGCAATAAATTAAAATAGGAATAGTAATTTAAAATGCAAAGTGAGAATCTGCCTTAAATTTAACCACTCAAAATAATTAGTATTAATTCACCCTTAAAAGTATCCCAAGCCCTTCCCAGAAGGTCCCATTTATATAGCAAATGATACTGGCTTTGTACTGGGTTTTTATGCAGGAGTCCAAAGGACCTGTTCTCCCCTTTCTGACAAGTAAATAAAACGGCAGGGAGATCAAATAACTCACTAAAAAGAAGATATAATTTTTTATCTTCCTTTTTACAGTCTCATATCCACTTCCGTTGGGAATAACAAAGTCTGAATTCTTATGCAACACTTATCTAAATGTGTCGATTTTATCGGATTGATGAATTTTGCTAACAAAAGGCAGTGCTAGGAAATCTTTTATGACATATTTGGCCCATTCACAGGCCTGGAGCTTTAATTTAACCAACTTGAGAATTCTGAGGGAGAGCTGCAGGTGTTGGATCTGAAAAAAAAAATCATAAATGGGAAGGCATATCAATCTTTATGACGGGGAAACAAAAACACTCTCTACTTGCTTGCCCTCCACAGGCAGGAGAAGGAGAGGTGGAAGGAGCAGGATATTGTCTCGGGCTGCATAGCAAAGAGGAAGCATCGCTGTCTCCCAGTGACCGCTATTTAGTATTGATCAAAAGGCGCTGGCCCGGAGAGGAAGAGAGGAATTGATAAAACAATGAGGTTTGCCAACACTCTGTGCTCAACAAGGACATTTTCTCATTTTCTTGACCACATCAGAGTAAGTCACTCCTGTGGCTGCCTGAGCGAGCGGGCAGCTCTCTGTCCCCCCACCCCTCCTACCACCCCCGAGGCTGCCCAGCAGCACTGCCACCTTGCCACCCCCATGGACGGTAAGCAGAGTCAATCACTTGACAAGGCCTGTTGCTTCTCCTGTTAAAGGTCTCCCCAGGTCAGCCTCCTCTCCCTCCACAGCCTTAACGCAGACCACATTTCTCTCCCTGGGAACACCACCACGCTGCCTCTGCCTGTCTGTTCTCCCCCTGGATCCTCGTCACCAAGCCATCCTTCCACCTGCCGCCAGCCATCTCTGGATGGGAGAACCTTTCAGCCACTTCCTTGCACAAACTCATTAAGACTCCCTACCTTCCACAAGACAAAATCATAAACGCGTTGGTGTGAAATACTACGACGGTCCTTTGTGATTCTGTCTTTCCCGGTCTCCCATCCAACAGCAAAGTCTGTCCATTCCTCCATCCATCCATCCATCCATCCATCCATCCATCCATCCATCCAATTTTACAGGCCTCTGAGACAGAAACATCCAGTCGTCCACCAAAACCAATCTCCACTGGGGCGCCTGGGTGGCTCAGCCGTTTAAGCAACTGCCTTTGGCTCAGGTCATGATCCCAGGGTCCCGGGATTGAGTCCCACCTCAGGCTCCCTGCTCAGCGGGGAGTCTGCTTCTCCCTCTGCCCCTCCCCCTGTTTGTGCGCTCTCACGCTCTCTCTCTCAAAAATAAATAAATAAATACTAAAAAAAACCAAAAACCCAATTCCCCCCTTTTGATAACCGAATTGCAGCTAAGCAGATGGTGAGGGGATCCATTTCCTGGGCTCTCTGACACCACGGCATGCGTGACATGAGCAGGTAGGACTGAGTCCTCCCTCACCCACAGAATCTGTGGGAAGGGTGTGTGTCCCTTCTAGGTCCAGGCATTCCTGACACACTGGACCCTCCTGCGAACGTGAACGCAGTAGTGCCCATGCCTGGCTTTGACCACATGGACAAGGACACACCCTACAGTAGAAGGGCAGCAAGATGGAGGAAGCCTGGGTTTCTGAATGCTGTGCAGAGAAGAACCCCCTCCAACCGTTCACATTAGGAAATTACCTAGAAAATCAACTTCTGATTCCAAGCATAAGATTCCTTATGCTTCTGTATTTTTTGGTCTCTTGCAACAGCATCTTAGCCTTTACCCTTGATGAGAGTAAATGCCAGGCAAGATCCCACTTACTAGGACCCACGGCTGACACCTGCCTGCCCAATCTGTGTTAATGAAATGACCTGTGCCCCAGGGCCAGCTTATACAAGTGGATACTCTACTCAGCAACAAACCTACTTGGTGTTCTCCAGGGTCCTCTGCATTTTCTTGGTCATTTTATCAATCGCTGCCTGTCTCTTCCCTTCAGCCAAGAGGTCTATTTTGTTCAGCACCACAACCAGCTTCTGGCAGGCAATCTGCCCAATCACAAGGCACTCTGCTGACTGGGTCTGCATCCCTTTGGTCACATCAATGACCAGCATCATCAGATCAATGATCTGGGCCCCTGCAAGGAGAGAGAGAAGACAAGGTTAGAAAGGGAAATGGGGGAGAGGACTCTGCAGAAAGTGGCCTGATGTTTGAGGTTAAGCAAAATCAGCCAAATTAAAGTATTAAGATAAAAGTGGTTGGGGTGGGAAATGAATCACCACCACCACACACCTTCTAGCCCCGGCCGCGGGGGAGGGACTCTGACCACGTGATTTCAAGGAGTCCTCATGACCAACCACCATGAGGGATGGACGTGTTACCTCATCTGGAGAGGAGGAAACTGAGGCCCGTGAAATACAGAGAGCTCGCCCAGAGCCCCACAGCCCAGCATGCAGCAGAGCTGGGGGACCCCAAAACCCACACCATTTTATTGCCTCAATCTTCTCATTTTCATTCCATCCTACCTAGGAAATAATGTCCAAGCAGGAAATATCTGTTTTAGACTTGGCAAATGCCTAGAGATTTGGCCTTGCCAAGAGAGCAGACAGAAAGACCAGAAAACTAACGTGGAGGCCTGGAGGTTGTCTCCTTCGTAGCTCCTGGGTCTTCTCCTCACAGTAGTTGGTTTTCGTCGTGATCCTCCCACCCACAGCGGCAATATAGCTACTCACTTCTTTCGTCCTTTCCATTCTGGGTGGGAAGCTCCTGCTCTTTCAGGAAGGGTAGGAGCAATCCAAGGTTCAGCTACCTCAACAGTGAATACCATATATGTAAGTGTGTGTGTGTGTGTGTGTGTGTTTCCATACATATATGTGTGTGCATGTGTACATATAGGAGTGCTGTGTGTTTGTGTGTGTGCATTCTATATTACACATGCATGCCTGGTTGTGAGCATGCCCTAAATACACAGCCACACCTGAGCTGAACAACAGCAGAGGGACAAATTACAGAGGAGTCAATGAAAGGAAACTGCCCTGACCCATGTTAGGAGACTAATGTTAGCCAGTGAAGGGAATGTGTCCTTTTTAATAGGATTTTTAAGTAGTTTCACAAAAAGAAAGAAAGAAAGAAAGAAAGAAAGAAAGAAAGAAAGAAAGAAAGAAAGAAAGAAAGAAAGAAAGAAAGAAAGAAAGAAAGAAAAGGTGTTATTTTGGGGATACAAGAATATGCAGATATTTTCCCCTTTGCCCCAGAAGGGATTTTCAGGATCAAATTATCGTCATGGTGATACCGAGGAAGACTGCTCTATGGGTGACTTATGACCCAAGCTCACTCCTGGGAAAAGAGGGAAGGTGAGGAGGGGCAGTCCTTCCTGTTGGCACATTCACCTTGTGCGCTAGTCAACCACTTAATCTCCACAACCACTGTTTCAAAGAAGGTGGGACTCAGAGTCACGGGGCTACTTGCTCTAGACCAACTAGCACCAAAGGCCACCAGACACCAGGGAGCCTGGCTCCTCTACTGAAGCACTCTTCCCTGGTCACCACTGACCTGCACAGCTCCTCCGACCTCCCCGGGCAGAAAGAGTAGGTGCCTGGCTCTAGGTAGGCCTCAGAGTGTCCCCGCTGTCCTTCCTGCCCCTTTGCTCTGCCCTCCCCGGCCCTTTCTTCTACCTCACCCTGGGCCAGGGACAGAGCAGAGCTGTAGTCAATGGGGCCTGGAGGGGCAGGCGGGTGCTCACAGCCATCAGCATTGGCATCTCCCTCATCCTACCAGGCAGTAGGGCCTAGGCCTCTGCTACAGCTATAAGGGGGGCAGGGGGGAGGTATAACTGGTTCTATCACCTACACCTTTTAAACAACTGAGGCCTAAAAACTTCACCACCTGATAAGACTCCCACTCATATCTACCAAATCACCAACTCACCTCTGGGATCCATCTCTGTTGCGGCCCCAAACCCCATAACGCACGTCAGGCCCACGTCAGCTGCCCCCTAATGGGAAAACACTTGTCCTTCACCTGGGACTTGTCCCTCTGAAATCCAAACAGCCTCCCAGAAGGAACTTTCTACAACTATATGACTGATTCATACACTGAGCCAGGTTAAATCAGTACAACCTCTATGAAAGTCAATTCGGAAACAGCTATCAGAATTCACATTGTCTTTGACTCAGCCAAGCCCACATACATGTTCATGCTTGTTGTAGGTACAGTTGGAAAACATGTAAATGTCCATCAGAGGGGACATGTTGAAAATAAATAATGCTACATCCATGCAGTAGAACACTCTCCAGCCATGAAAAAGAATGAAGAAGCTCTTTATTTACTACTGTGGAACAGTCTCTAAGGTGGAGCGAGTGAGAAGAACAAAGGGCGGAGCAATGTAATCTGTGTTTAAAAGGGGGAAAAGGTGTGTGTGTGTATGTGTGCTGTATCTGAGTGTTTGCTTCCATATGCATAAAACATGTCTGAAGGAATGCAAAAGAAACAACTATCTTTTGGTTGTCTGTTGAGAGAGTAGCTAGGTGACAGATATGGGATGGAGTTAGAAGGAAACCTGACTGCACGTTCTTATGTACCTTTTTTTTTTTTGAAGATTTATTTATTTGAAAGACAGTGCACACGCACATGAGTGGGGGGAAAGGGCAGAAGGACAGAGAGAGAATTTCAAGCAGACTCTCCCCGCTGAGCATGGAGCCTGACGTGAGACTCGATCTCATGACCCTGTGATCATGACCTGAGCTGAAATCCAGAGCCAGACGCTTAAACGACTGAACCACCCAGGTGCCCTCTTCCGTATCTTTTAATTTTAAAGAGGTGTATACTGTCCACACATAAATAAAATTAAGTACATAGCTAGATAAAGAAATAAAACACTGATCTGACTGTGTTGTTCCCCTGCTAAGAGCCCTCGCTGTCCTCTTACTGAAAGGGAACTCGTGGTGTGGCTTTGGGCCCCTCCTTCTAACTTGCAGTCCAGGCACACTCTCCCTGCACCGAGCATGTAGGTGCACCTCACAGAGCCCTTCCTGGTGCTCCCTGCCCTGCCCCAGGGGCATACGCATGCATGTGAAAATGCACACACACACATACACACACACACAGAGCCTGAGCCCAGCCCACCCCAGAAGATGTGATCTCTCCTCATGTCCTCCCACCACAAGCAAACCCGTCACCAGTCACAAGGATGTGTGGCCAGGTGTTGAGGCAGGATGGGACCAAGACTGCAGGTGAGTGGGAGGAGGAGTGCCCTGGGTTCCCAGCCTGTGAGCCATTCTCTGGGAAGACTGCAGAGCCACCTTCACACAAAACGGTCCCAGTGCCCGACCAGGTGACCCCCAACTCTAGTGGGCAAAGCTGTGCCCACAAAGCCAAGGCTACTCTATCCCACAGATGACTTAAGGACTTTTCAAGAGTAATTCCAACTGCCTGGGCTCCCTCTAGAACCTAAACATCATCCCCTACCTAACCCAAACTATCACCGACCCCACTGTACAGATGAGGAGAAGTTCGGTGACTGCCCTTGGTCACTTGGCAAATAGGTGCTAGAGGAGCGATCTGAACCCTGACCCTGTTCTCACCTATGTGCCACATGGCCTGTCCTTCGGCATAGAGACCCAGTCCCTCTCCAGCCTCCTCTCTCATGGTCCTCACCCACTCCCCGCTTTACACTGAGAATCAAGGCACACCCCACAATTTTTCTCACCCTTCCCTGCCCTGCTTTTGCTCCTGCCCCCCTACTCAGACTTCACCCGCCCCTGGCCCCTCCTCCCCACTGACTCCCATGCTCAGAGCTTACAGACCACAGCCTGGGCTGTCAATCTGGATTCACAGCACCCAGTACAAGACCCAGCTCAGGCACAGCTTGGGCAATCTTTGTTGGGCTGAACTGAGCAAATGATAGCTCCCCCCATGTCCCAACTCTGTTCCTTTTCTCGGAGATTCAATTCCCTATTGGTATATACCACTACCCAGGAATGCCTTGTCTGGGCCCGGTGGCTGAAGGGGAAGGACTCATGTATTCCATGAGTTTAGCCTATCTTACTGATCATGCCTGTTGGGCTCCTGGGGACAGAAATGAAACTGGCCTGACAAACCCAGAAAGACAAGTGCAGCCAGGCCCCAAACACTCAGGCTGGTGAGGATTTCCTCTGAAGCCTTACTCTAGCATCTACAAGCCGCCTTTGTTGAGAGGAGCACACAGTTCTGCTCCAAAAGGCCAGGCTCTCGAGCAGACCTGCTGTGGCGCAGCCAACATCAGGCACTTCTAAGGAGACCAGAGGTCACGGCGACTTGACAGGCCCCACTGCGAACCAGGGGTCAGCAGCAGGCAAGCGCCCGCTGCCCAGCAGCAGCTCTCAGTTACTCCCGTTTCTTCCTCAAACTTTTGATCAGACGACAGGAAGTGACAAAACTGGCCCGTCTTGTCTTTTTCAAAATCCTCAGTATTCCAAAGAATGAATCAAACACTGTCCTTCCCAATTCCCACGAACCCAGGGTAGGAAACCATTCTGAGACCAGAGGGGCACAGCAAGCAAGTGGGCGGGAAACACAAGTCAGGAACTCGCAGCTTACAAATGACCCTCTATATTTTTCCGTCTATCAGACCTTTTCATCTAGTTGTTCTGACTATAGATCCCTTTAAAGGTTTGCAGAATAATTATAACAGGGTTAAAGTTTCTCAGTACTTTAAAAAGTTACAATTTCCAATTCTGTAGATCATATATCTTAATCATTTCAAAAATAAAAATAAAGAAAAACTTACAAAGGTCAGCATTTAACAAAGTGTAAGTTATCTGTGAGATGTAATTTTCCTTCTGAGACTGAAGAAAAAAATGTGTGTGTTCAGAGAAAGATATTTTGGCTAGAGAAACGGAATATAAAACTTTAAACACTTTAGCAACCTCAAAATCACATCTTTAATCATAAAATTTGATTTTTTAATCAAAAGCTATTAACACCCCAAAAAGGAGAAAATAATATTAAATTTAAAATAAAGAAAAATGTATTTTTAACCGGTGACTTATTAAATATTCAACAACGTAAATACATTGTCCTATATAAAGTATAATATAAAATATATATATAAAATATAAAATATATATGTAATTCTATCCTATTATTAATAGGACCCAT